CTCCACCCTCCCTCCCTCCTCTGTGCTGACCACTGCCTTGCAATCAGACCACCCCCACACCATCACAGCCAGCCTCAGGGCCAGCCATGCAGGCACCAGCTCCCACGCCTCCTGGAAAAGCAAGTCTCACATCTGAGACCCTCTCCCAACCTCCCTGCTGGAAATCATATGCTTGTAGTCTGTCAGGGTCCCAGGAACACAGTTCGTGTGTGGGTGGGGGTGGGGTGGGGTGGGGGAATAATCTCGATACCCCGATGCTTCCCCAGCCTGTTCAGGGGGAGGATTGGGCGTTGGGGAGAAGGGTTGATGGAGTGGAGGCGGCAGGTGGTGTAGGCAGAAGTCTGGCTAGCTGACTTGACCCTTGTGTGGTGGGGAGTGAGGGGGAGTGGACGGGCCAGGAACCCTCCTGCTTTTTGGACAACAGGGATGAGTTTCCTGCTGAGAGCCACAAAACTCAACTCCATAGTTGGCAGATAACCCATTTTCTCAGTCACACACACACAAAACTAAGGACACCTCTAAGGCTTCTTGTTTTTGGCCCCCCACCCCACCCCCACCCCGTTTCCACTGCTGATTGGGTGTTTGTCCTCCTCTTCCCACCTGGAAAACTTGGCTTCCAGCTCACCATCACCATCAGAGATTTTTGGTTCTTGCCAGGCCTACGTTGAAGCTCTTTCCTGCATGCTTTCTCTGCCCGCACATTGCTACCAACACGTAAGGCACGAAGCTGGGAATTCATGGCTCTCTCCCTGCAGCAAGGCACAAATCCCTCAAGGACACGAGCCATCCTTGCATTCCTTGCTGGTTCCCTGCCCACTTGGAGGATCCAACGGAAACAGCTTTTGCGGACAGGTGGGAGGGCTTGCAGGGGTCTCACTGGGCAGGCTTCACCATAAGCTGTGGGATGACAGACCTGCTTCTGGGACACCTCTTCCCTTCGAAGGAAGCTCCAGGCCCCTGATCTCAGCCTGTTGGCCATTTGGATGATTCCAGTTCGGTCTTTGCCACAGTTCTTCCGTAGGTCTGTGTGCATCCTGCATCTCCCCAACTAGCTCCTAAGCTGCACTTGGGCCAGAAGGATGACTACTTTGTGGCTTTTTTGGCTCTACTGACTTGTGCGAGTATCCAATGGTGACGCTTTTCGGATTGCCATCACCATGCCGTGCAATGGAGTTTGTGGTAGTTACACAATTTCATGTCAGCTTAATACAAGAATGAAGGGGTGGAGTCTAGCTTGTCAATCAGGCCACAGCCTCTCTTCCTCCCTGGAGGCTGGACACTCTCTCTGTGTTTCACCTTCCTGTTGACAAGCCATATGGAGCCACGCTGATGGCAGCCAGAGCCCTGGAGATGCTTCCACCACCACTGGATCCGCACCACGTTTCACCCACCAGCCTGTGATCTTCCTGCATTCGGCATCACTGGGAGTAGCTACCCAAGCCTAAAGAGGAACTTATGGACTAGTATTGGATTTAGGGGGCTAATATCGGACTTGTGGACTTGATCTGGGCTGGGCTGGGCTGTTCTTAATATACGATTGCTCTTTGATCTAAAGCCCTCTCTTACACATACATGAGTGCCCCTGGATTTGTTTCTCTAGTCCACCCAGCCTAACACAGGGTTCTTAGTCATCCCCAAAGCAGACTCGCTGACTGCCATTGAGCCAACCTGCACTCAGAGCACACCTGCAGACAGTGAAAATGCCCCATAGGGTTTCCAAGGCCGTCGTTCTCAATGGTAGTAGAAGGCCACATAGTTCTCCCGTGGAGCGTGGAGTGGCTGGTGGGTTCCACCCACCAATCTTTGGGTTAGCAAGCGAGTGCTTGAATCTCTACACCACCAGGGTCATTCAGCTCGACTCCCCTAACGGCCATGGAGTAGATGCTGACTCATCACGGCCCTACAGGACGGGATAGAACTGCCCTGTGGGTTTCTGATACTCTTTACAAGAGTAGAAAGCCTGATCTTTCTCCCCAAAAGCAGCTGGTGGTTTTGAACTGCTGACCTTGCGATTAGCAGCCCAATGCCTAACCCACAGCACCAAACTGTGGCCAGCTCAGGATTGAACACTTGGTCTCTGAGTGGAAAGGGCCCCGGCATCTGGGCTAGAAATGTTGGACTACTGTTTCACGAGGGTTGTGCATTTTCTCTAAGAAAAGATTTGGGAATCATTTCCTACGAACAAGACTTTCCTTCCATTTATCTTCTTTGAGCACGTAAGAGTGTGTATGTGTTGGGGTGGGAGTAGCTGGATGACTAACAAGAAGTGTTATTCTTGATTTGCTCACCAGGTCAAATCCAAGCAGGGT